TGGGAGCATGGATAGAATTGGAAAAGAGTTTCGATGATGGGGTAGAGGCAGAAGTTGGATTGAGTAGCCTGAGGAGAACAAGGTGAACAAGCGTGGCTCGCTCTGGAAGCTCGGTGGTACAGGAGATGTGTATCCTATCACTCCACATGTCATCTGAGGTCTTGTTCCCTCGATGCAAAAGCCGCCTCTCCTGACCACTCTGACCTTCCATGTCTGGATTTAACATTTGCTGTGAGATGCGCTCATGTCTGTGTTTAATGATTCTCTATTTGATTCAAGTGCGCACATTCCCAACCACCACTGGAACCGTCACAGGATTGGGCAGCTGCATCTTCTCACCCTCTCACATCCTCGTGGATGGTAGATGGGTGGAGCTCTGCAAACAGTTGTTGGCCTGTCTTTAGCATATTAATCATCTAGGAACATAAGCCTGACTAGTCCCTGCAAGCCTGGGCCCTTCCCTGGTCCACCTGGACCTCCAGGGTGGCAGGAAGAGGCTGGGCTGGACAGGCTAATGCCCAGCAGGCACTTACTGGAAGGGGAGCTTCTCATCATTGGGCTTGATGCAGCGGACGTAGTGTGGTGTCGTGGCATTCAGGGTCTCCATGAGCAGATGCAGGGAGGTGCGGAACTGGGGGAGGCAAAAGTCAATGCTTGGTTATTTTTAACATTTCATGGATGTACAATAAGCAAAAACTCACATACTTACGGTGGTGATAATTATTACTATTACTGTTATCACTCTTGACCCAGAAGGACAGGGGAAAGAGTTTAGAGCTCTGGGGTCAGATTCCAACTCCGACACTCCCAACCTTGCTGTAATCAAACATAAAGTCATTCCCATATCAGGGCTCTTCATACCATATGGTGAGAGACTGTCTTCTAACATGCCCAACTCCAACCATTGTGGATCAAATGAGGTGACAGGTGGGCAACACTGTGTGAGATTTGGTCTCTGTGCACTGGAGGTCTGTTACCCTTGACCAGAGGTCCTGAAGCCTTAACAAACGAGGCCTGGGCATCCTGGAAGTGATTGTGTATATATAAGTGGATCAGAATGAGCAAATCCACATAAAAATAGGTGGCAGTTGCCAAGGGCTTGGCAGTCACTCTCTTCAGAGACACATGGACATAACACCCAGAGAGGTCCCACAGGAGTCCTTGTCTCCTGATCCCCAGGTTTATGTAAGCCTCCTCTCCTACCTGCAGGCCTCTGGCCTCCTCCACAGGTGTCTGTACCCCTGTACCCTACCAAGGACTTAATGTACTGACTGGGGCCACCGCCATGGCCTCTCTTCTTTCCTCTGTTGGTTCCCTATAGTGAAGGTTTGGGAGTTTTCTTCTTCAAAAGACACGGAGATTGAGTTGGGTGGCTGGGGCTGCTAATGCTGAGGCCACAGTGGCCTTCCTCTGACCTGTGGCCATCCTTCACCTACAGAGAGACCAGCTCACAGCTTTTGGCCCAAGGCTGACCTGGTGGCCCACAGTTTTCTTGTGCTCCTTGTTGGAAACTTTCATGGGGGCTCTGGCAGAGCGAATGTTAATCTTCGAAGAGGATCCCTTCCCGGCTGTGGCAGTGGCGGCAGGAACAGCATCCTTATCATCACGAAACAAGTCAGCCACTAGTGGGAACTAGAAACAAACAAAGGGAGAGTAATGAAAATATCTTGCACCTTAGGTTTCAAAACATCAGCTTTCCAAGATACACCCAAGAGAAATGAAAACATATGTCCACGCAAGAATGTGGATACCAGTGTTCATAGCAGTATTACTCATAATCCAGATGTCCGTCACTGATGAATAGATACGGGATCTACCCACACAACAGAATACCCTTCAGTGACACAGGAAAAGTCTGATCCTTGCCACAACAGGATGAACCTTAAAAACATCGTGCTAAGTGAAGGAAGCCAGACACAAAAGACCACAGAGAGTGTGATCCTGTCTATGTGAAATGTCCAGGGAAGAGAAAGTGGTCCAGTGGTTGCCAGGGGCTGGGGGTGTGGAAGAGGGGAACGACCAACACCACAAACAGGCACAGGGCTTGTTTGGGGGGTGATAAAATATTATCAAATTTAAAGTGGTAATGGTTGTTCATCTGTGTGAACACACTTAAAATCCACCAAAATGTATGCTTCCAAAGGGTGAATTCTACAGTACGTGAATGATATTTCAATTTTAAAAATGGTAGGAAAGACAAGATTCCATGCAGTCTGTTATGTCAAAACAAAACACTGATTAAATGATGCTAATCCATATACTTTCTGAAATGGATTTTCAAGATGTTTGGACGTACAGGGGGAAGTTACCAATTTGCATAATTATACTATTTGGAGATCTAATTTACATAAATCAATAATAGATTTACTATGAAAAATCTGTTAACTCTAAAGAACACATATAGGTTGGGTATTCTTTACCTGAAATGCTTAGAACCAGAGTGTTTTGGATTTTAGACTTTTTCTGGAAATTTGAAATATTTGGATCATACTGTCTGCTTGAGAATTCCTAATCCAAAATTCTGAAATCTGAAATGTTCCAGTCACGGGGCATTTTGGATTTTGGACCACATTGGGTTTCTGATTTTCAGATTTGGCATGCTTGACCTGTACCAAAACCACACTATAAACTTTGAAGTTGGACTCACCAACAGGAGGATTTTAAATATTCAGCCCCTTTCTATACCTTTGGAGAAGCTACGTATGTTTTCTGTTTATTTTAAACATTAAACAAGGGAGCCATACCAGAAAATGAAACTGTCGAAGCC